GTGCATCCACCTCATAGCGCCGATACTCCTTACGATTCACTGCTCTAAAAAACATAAAATCCCAATTCAATAAGACATCTCGATACTCTGTTAACTCATATATCATCACCGTCCTTCCACGCACATGACCACGACACACCAGTGTAGCCGCCATCTCTCCACGAGCACCTCCACACCTACAAATCCCCTCATAACTTAGAATTTTGCGCACACTAAAAGCACCACCTCAAGCTCAACTTGCACAAACAGCATACCTCCGTACCGCACTATGTACTATTCTTATACCCACCATAAGACCATATTCCAGAAATCACATCAAACACGACCAATGCCCCTCGTTTCTTGTTAAAAGTTCATTTTTTAACCATAAAGTATGAAACGACACGACCCTCCCTCCCCCACCACCTCCCTCCACCCACCAAATAGACAACCAAGATAACAAAATAATTTTCACAACCCTCACTTTAACAACCAATAGGGTTCCCACGCACACAATCCCCCCCCCAAAAACACATTCACCTCGCCATCTGTTAACAACGACAAGACATGCCCCTACAAAGAGAACCGACACCCCACACACTTCCCCCTACCAACACTAATCCCAACCAAAAAGAACAAATAACCAAAAAAAAACACACCTGCACAACTGTTTCTCTCCTCGTAATAATCCAAATTAATAAAATGCAGAATAAAAATAAAAAGAAATTGTCCCGCGGGTGCGCACACCAATAATCCCCGGAACCACATACAAAAGCAAAAAACAAAAAAAATAATATCAGGCACCGCAATCCACTACCCATCCCTTCTCACCGAACACACAGACGCTGATAAAAGCCTACTAACTGATCTAGGCCTCCCCAAAATAAGACCCCCCAGCACTATAGTATAACCCTCTTGTCACTCCACATACAACTTTACACGATTATCACTGCGAACTGCTATACCCATCTCGCAACCACCAGACTGATCCCAATACACAGACACGCGATTGCCCGACTTCTCACTACATAATACATGTTGTTCCGATGCCCCACCCACACCCAGAAACCCACATGCGCACATGGGCAATCACCGCAGGACTACGAATACGAGTCCAGTATAAAACCACCCATATCCGTCACAATGAATACCACTAGTCCTCGCTGCCCCAACCCTCCCGACAGCGCTGCCGCTACAAAACCAAACACGTGTATCTCCTTTTTTTCCTCCCCCCACTATTTTGGTTTAATTCACTTGATGACCACCCTACCCATCACACTCACACCCTGGGCCAGACAATATGAACACACCCCACCCGAATACTAACACCCAATCCTGTACTTCGCTTTGCTGCCTTACCATGCAGGACGAGTCGGACGACAGCAAGGCTTGGCACACTGAGCTCATCGAGAACGTTCGACCCTTCACCCAACTTGCACCTCCCAGCATCCACGCACAGATCGCCATGCTTGCTCTACCGCAAGCGGTTCTCCATACAATCCATGCAGCCTCCAACTCACAGGCATCGTTCCTCGTCGAGAACCTCCTGTTCTCTGACTAGGGCATCATCCTGGGGAAATGGAAACCCCTCTTAGGAGACAAAGATGCCATCATCAAGACCTTTGCCCGGGATATCAACTCCATCATCGAGCAGGCTGCCAAGCAAAACCGTGACATGGACAAGATCGTAGCCACCACCGAGAAGGTCATCTTGGACATCCACGGCTTCACCTCAACACATATTACCGTAGCTGGCGAAGTAAGTAACACCCACGAATCCACCGAGCACAAACTCAAAGTCACCCAGCAAATGAACCTCTCCCAAGCAGAAATTGATTGGTACATCCAAAGGGTTCCCGAGATGCAGCAGTTTGCCGCTAAACCCATACCTTGCACTCCCACACCCCGCAGAGCCAACAACTATAAGATGTCCCCCGATGCCCCCTTCATCCCACTACAGATAGCTCGTTGGATCGAAAATGTTAGCACCCAGTTTGATAACAAACTCTGGCGCATGGACTCCTTCAACCACGCTGACGAGCGCATTGGCCCCCGCGCGAGCGAGGGCCCTCCCGGCCACGTCACGCAGGAGAAACTTAGGCTTTCAACCTTTTAGAGACAGCTCGGGAGCGACACGATAACTCGCGTCGACCTTTCGTCGCTCCGGGCGAGTGCGCTGTCGGTGCGAATACCCTCACAAGGGTATCCGCCCTGGTTTTTGCAAGTAACACAAAATAGTTTTGGTTTAGAGTTTAAGTATACCGCACTAAGCACGGCTGCGTATGTAATTGCCTTGACTGGGTGGTTGACCACAATAACGAGTGCTTGGGAGCAGGTTTAAGGCACGCGTGATTCCTTCCTGTTGTTGATCGTAAAAACCGGCCCGGACCTCGGTCGTTGTGCTTGGTGATATTACTTATTATTTATTTATTTTTGATTAAGCAGGAATTAAGGATGTTTTCTTTTTTATTAGGTACATTTGACCGGGTCGAGCGCGCGTGCGGAGAGCGGCCCCGACGACGGCATTGGCAACCACGGCGCGGCTTTGTGCGGTAAACGGGGTNTTAGGTACATTTGACCGGGTCGAGCGCGCGTGCGGAGAGCGGCCCCGACGACGGCATTGGCAACCACGGCGCGGCTTTGTGCGGTAAACGGGGTGTCGTAGGATGGCGCGCGGGGCAATTATGGCACGGTATAAGCAAGCCGGCGCGGGCAAAATAGGAGCCGCGCAGCCGGTTTGTCGGCCCAAAGCATCGCGCCACACTGCCTATATGGTATTTTGCGGGACTCAGTCCCAGACTTGGGCTTAGCCTTATAGGTTACGGTATCGGACTACTATTATGAAGGTTTGGGGATCGAGGCCAGCGAGTGTCGGTGCAGCAGCGGCGGAGCACTACGGAGAGAACTGAGGGGTTGAGGGCCCGACGGGGCTATCCCCCTTTGGTTTTGTTGACAAGCGCGGCGACAGACCCGGTCCACGGGACCGGTAAGGCTTAGTAGTCCCCACGCCCTGCTTAGAGATTTCTATTTATAATAATTTATTTTATCTTTGTTTTTTCTATATTTACCTATTATTTCTATTGGTATTTGCGGTACCGCGACTAGCAGTCCCTGTCTTAAAGAACCGCAGGTGGGGGTACCACCGCGGCTAAGTCCTTCGGAACATCCGTTAAAATTGGAACGATACAGACGTGTAAATCGTTCGTCGGGCTCGAGTATAAGGCGAAAGACTCATCGAACCGTCTAACAGCTGGTTGCATCCGAAGTTTCCCTCAGAGCGGCTGGGACTGTCGGGCAATAAGGCCGGCCACAGCAACCACCGGGGACTGCGCTAGTGGCAGCGGACGACCAAGGTAGAGGGGCCGATAGACAGGCCGCGGCAGGGTGGCAAAAGACGGGGAGCTACGCAGTGAAAGGGACGATGGGCGCTGGCGTAGAAGTGTGACAAGGGCCAGCGCGGTGAGCCCAAGCAGAGAGGTAACAGGCAGTCGGGCATTGCGAGAGCAACGACGGGCGGCACACAGCGGAGTACATCAGGGCGGATTTACGGTGGGACAGTGGGAATGAATCAAGGCGCTTTCCCGCACCGGATTCATCCGCAGTGAGAAGGCTATGAGGAAACTGGAGTGGCATGGCCAGGGCCGTCAGATGAATCGGGTCGGGCTGCTCGGGCGCTAGGCGTTGCGCTGAGCAAAGGCCGGGCTGGGCTATGTGCCAGTGGGAGCATGCGCGGCACAGCAGGGGAGTGACGAAGGAGGAAGCCGGACTGCGGGAAGGCGGGCAGTAGGTAGATGGCGTGGGAATGAACATGACCGCGGCCGCGCCTGGGTACGAACGGGGTATAGCCGAGAGTAAGGGGAAATCGGATATCTTGCCCGATACTTAATGGAATCGAGCAAGCGAAAATGAGATTTCTATGTTTTGGGGAGCTGCGAGTCTAATGACAGCGTTAGTTTTGGCATTAGTACAGCAGAATAGGAGGTTAGTAGAAAAATTAGTGCGCCGAGCTATGACGGATGAGTAATTTGGCGCAGGGCGGACAGGGATCAGGAAAAGCGCAGGCGCCTAAGGCCCAGGCAACAACCCCTTTAAATGTGGCGGCTCCATCATCTAGTACGGGCCCCTCGCAAGGTGGGGCGCCCTCCTACGGACCGTGGCCCTGGCCGGTGATCAATGCAATTGTGCCATGGGGAAGCCCGCCGCAAATAGCCGGACGACAAATGAGTATGCCACTGCCCATCTACCCCGTAGCCCAGGCCCAGCCTGTGGCTCCGCCGCCGTCACCTGCTCCTAGTTCACAGGGCAGTGTGGCGGGAGGTGGGAACCAGGGGCAAGACAATCAAGGCAACGGAGGGAGGGGTGGAGGAAGGGGGCGAGGCAGGAATGGTCAAGGCCAGGGGTACCAAGGCCAGGGGTACCAAGGCCTGGGGTATCAAGGCCAGGGGGATCAGGGAAGTCAGGGGTATGGAAGACCTCGTTTTGATTGGAGGACGGCCATCTGTCAACATTGTGACCAACAAGGCCACACTATAAGGTTCTGTAATATAAGACGGGAAGATGAGAGGAGCGGACTGATTTTCTCCATTATGGATGAGAATATCTACGATCATTTTGGGGAGGCCATTGACAGAAGGCTTGGAGGGGTGAGGGCGGAAGCCCAGCGAAGGGCGGCAACTGGGCCACCACCCCCTGCCATGTTCAGGCTATGGCAGGAAAATGAGGAACCACCGATTGGGGTGGAGGAAGTGGAGAGTGATGAGGAAGTGGCTCAAGGGCTACGAGGAGGAAGTAAGACGGAAGAGTCCATAATCATCGAGTCAGATAACGAGGATGAGGAGGAAAGAATGGAGCCTCCGTCTGTCTTATTTGGGAAGATGGAGGACCTGCTGGATAAGATGGGGAGGTACCAACAGAAGTTGGTGGGCCTCTGTGAGGAAGTGAAGGGATGAAAGTCTAACATCCCCAAAGTGTTCCTCTATGACTCCGGCCCGGAGTCAGCACCTGGGCGACCCGGAGTAAATGTGGTGGGGTCGTGCCCACAATCGGGGATGAGGGGAAGACCCCTCACTCCGCAGGCCCGGCTGGCACAGGCAGCGCGAACGAGGAATCAAGCCAAGACCAGTGCCAGTCAAGAGCCTCTGAGGAGAGAACTCGAATCAGGGAGAAGGAAAGAGGTTGTGGAAGTAGAGGACGACGATGATGAAGAGGAAGAGGACGAGAAGCTGTGTAGAGAGGAGGATCAGAGAGCGGAGCAGCGGGCAAGAAAAAAAGGAACCAGAGGAGAGGCCGAACCGGTTATATATGACGGGCCACCCAAAAAGAAGAAATACGCGGTTCGGTTGGAAGAGGGATTTGATGTAGAGAGAGTAATTGACAGGCTGCTGGAAGGGCATAATGACCTCATGACCCTGAAGGAAATCCTAGCGTCAGCCCCGCGACTCTACGATGAACTAAAGGGGAGATTGTCGAGGCGCCTGATACCCAATGTCCATCTGGGTACTATCCTGCCCAAGGAGGCTGAGTGGGTAGAGTCGGGGACGAAAGTGGACTGGAAGTGTGTAGCCTGCGGCACGGTGGATTTGGTGGTGAAGGGCTCCAAGTGTGCGGCAATGGTGGACATCGGGGCCGAAATGAACATCATTCGGGAGGCGGACGCAATCAAATTCGGGCTGGATATAGACCGTTCTGACTGCGGTATTCTGCACGGAGCCAGCTGCAAGGCCGTTTTTTGTGGGACAGCCTCGAATGTGCTTATCGAGGTTGGAAAGGTGAAGGCCAGGGCATGCTTCTTCATAATGCCGGACGTGGACCATGGAATCCTCCTGGGGAGGTCATTCCTAGCAGGACGGAGACCGTGATGTTCAACAAACATGACGAGACTCTAATTCTTCTCTTATGCGATCCTGCCTGCGGGAATTACGAAGTAATTATTTGCAGGAACACCGGACCAAGGAGTGTAAGGAACCGGCCCAATCCAGGATCATTCACGATCGAGGAATCGGAAGGGGAGCGCCGGAGGCTCCGGGCAGAGCCCGAAGCAGGAGAGAGGGTGAAAGCATTTTCCCTTAGCCTGTCAAATGTTGGGAAGGCCATGGACCTGGTGGCCGCGCATGAGATGGCAGATTCGGATGCCATCCAGGCCTTGAGGGAGCAAGTTTTGAAATGCCCCGAGGTAGGAAGGTTGGAGTTGGTATATCGGCTCCCAGGCAGCGGAGGGCACCCCGCATCAACACAAACACAATCTGTGAGTCGGCCTAAGCAGGGTTCCCAAAGGCGGTACAAGACGGTAGATAAGAAGTGCCGCCCGGTTCCCGTCCTCGTTACAGAAGACGAGGAAGCATATTACGAAAGAGAGCGAGGGCTGATACGGCGAATGAGGGAGAGTGTTTTAGCAGGACCATGTCGTATCAACGAAGAGAATAAAGGGGAGTTGATTATAGGGGAGCTCGACTTCCTACTACCTCAAGAGCGAACATTGATGGTGGAATTAATGAAGAGGAGACATCGCGCCTATACGTTTAGCGACGAGGAGCGTGGCAGACTGGATGTGGACAAGATACATATGATCCACATCCACACCGTACCACACGAGCCTTGGAACATGAGAGGGGCGCGATATCCTAACCCTGACGAGGAAAAGAAGGTAGTGGATTACCTCGACGGCAAAATACATACGCACGTCGCCGACTATTCTAGTGGACCATATGCGTCCCCGTGGTTTTGCTTTATTAAGCCTAACGGGACGCTGTGATGGGTGCAAGATCTACAGAGGTTAAATGCGGTGACCGTGCTAGATGCTGGAGGACTGCCAAATGCGGATGCTTTGTCGGAATCCTGTGCTGGAAGACCTATAATTTCGCTTATAGACCTTTACTCAGGATACGATCAGTTTCCGGTCTCCCCGCCGGATAGGCCGGTGACGGCTATGCATACGCCGCGAGGATTAATCCACATGAACGTGGCCCCTCAAGGGTGGACCAATGCAGTAGCAATGGTCCAACGGGCCATGATTCGGGTTATGCAGTCAGTCAGCCCCCATATTACACAGCCATACATCGACGATTTGGCGGTGAAAGAGCTGGCAGTGAAGGAGACCGATGAAGTCTCGCCAGGGGTAAGGCGCTTTGTTTGGGAGCATATCCAGGACCTCGAAAAAGTCCTGAGCCTGCTCGAGGAGCATAACCTCACGGCAAGCGGGGCCAAATCAAGATACTGCATGAGGGAAGCGACTATTTTGAGGTTCATCTGCAGCGAGAAGGGCCAGAGGCCGGATGTAAAGAAGACGGACAAGATTACTGAGTGGCCAGTTCTGTTCCACTCAATAACTAATGTCAGAAGCTTCCTTGGTACGTGTGGATTTTGGAGGGCCTTCATCAAGAATTTTGCCGCTAAGACTGAACACCTGAGGAAGTTAGTTCGTCAGGACCAGGAATGGGTTTGGGGTGAAGAACAAGACGAGGTGGTAACTGGAATGAAGGAAGAATTTCGAGAAGGAGGGTTGGTGTTAGGAGCGCCAGATTATGACGCCACAGAGACGCGACCCTTCATTGTCGAAACGGATGCGAGGTCGACTGCTTTATGAGAAGTTCTAATTCAGGCAGACATGGAAGGAAAGGAAAGACCCTTGCGATTTGAGAGTCGGACTCTCTGTACGACGGAGAGGGACTACTCACAGTTCAAGAGGGAGACCCTTGCCGTCCTCCATTGTCTGCGAATCTTCCAGAACTACATCTTCGGCAGGAGGTTTATTTTGAGAGTGGATCCGACCGCCCTGGCCTACTCTCTAAAGAATTACGTTCCATCGGATCCGACGGTTGCCAGATGGCTGACGTACATCTGGATGTTCAATTTCGAATTGGGACGGATACCTGGCAGTAAGAACCGGGCGGACGGGCTGAGTAGGATCAACTGGGATAAACAGGAAGGGGAGGCGGTGGAGAATACGCCCCCAGTTGATGGATTTCTAGATCAGGAAGAAGATGTTCGTCTCCACATCAATAAGTGGTCGCCGCGAGTGCCCAGCTGTGTAGGCTATCCTATTTGGCAAACGCCAAGTGGGTATGAACGGAGGGATGAGTTAGTCCTTAAGCCCTTTGAGGAAGAGGATCCCTGGGGTGGTAAGGATGTTCAGTGGATGATGGAGCTAGCACTGACCAGCTCGCATAGCCTGGTGGAGGATATGAGGACGATTGAGGAAGGACCTGGCCAGGTAGAACGGCATGAGGACCTGATGGGAGGAATATATCTCCTCGTCAATACGTTATTGCAGGAAAGCCTAGACCAGTCAGACTCGTTGAACCCGACAGGGAATGTGGACGAAGTGCGTGAGAGCCAGGACGACGAGTTCGAGGAAGGGGAAATTAAGGAGGCTTTTCGTGCAGAGGAGTACGACGGGATCTACCTAGAGATGGGGCTTCTTCTGTCATGTGAAATGCGGCTAAGGGATGCAGGCGATAGGGCTCAGAGGATGCTGCAGCGCTACTTAGTGCGAGACGACCACCTTTTCGTGAGAAGAGAAGTGGGGAATCCCAAGAGAGTCGTCTGCGGTAGGAATCGTCAGATCGACATCGTAGCAGCGCTTCACGATGGCATTGCAGGAGGGCATTGAGGGGTACAAGCCACGTATGCCAAGATAAGTGAGTTGTACTACTGGGATGGGATGATGGATATGGTCGGGAAGTTCTGCCGATCTTGTGTACCTTGCCAGGAAAGATCCCGTTTAAGGCAAGGAGAGCCGCTGCATCCAAGGCTAGAGCGAGAGGTGGGGGCCGTAGTGCATCTCGATCTGCTTTTTATGCCGCTTGGGGACCAGGGCTATAACTATATTTTCGATGCGCGCGACAACCTGTCTGGCTTCGTAGACGGGCATGCTATTCGCACGAAGACCAGGTCAGCCCTAGTGAGCTGCATCGAGGAGTATTACCTACGCTATCCTTTCGTCAGGGAATTCGTAATGGACAGGGGATCGGAGTTTACTTGCCAGGAGGTGCAAGAACTTTTATCAAGGTATGGTGTGGCAGCCAATTACACCACGGCCGCGCACCCCCAGGCAAATGCTCCCGTGGAGAGAGGACATAGTACCATTACGAGTCTCCTGGCTAAGTGGACCGAAGGTAGGCCTAATCAATGGCCACGATACCTAAGGGCGGCTTTCTTTGTCGAGAATATTACAGTAAAAAGATCCACCAAGTACGCACCGGCGACATTGTGGTACGGAAGGCACGCGACCTTCCCTATCGAAAGTTTTCTTAAGACATGGAGGCGCCAGGATCTGGAAGTTAACCTGTCATTTGAAGAGTTGTTCGATATTCGGGCGCGGCAGGTAGGGGCCATAGAAGAAAGGATCCAGGAGGCGTCTGATCAGGTGGCGAGGAGCCGTATGGATGATAAGGATCGATGGGATCAGTCTGCGCGGGTGAGGAAGGTACCCTTGGCAGTGGGAGATGTCGTGCTTCTCTACTATTCATCACTGGAGAAGCAGTGGTCCATGAAGCTCGATAAGAGGTGGTTAGGTCCCTACCGGATCGTACGGGTCGGAGACTTCGGGGCGTACCAGATTGAGGAGCTGAATGGGACCGAGTGGAAGGATTGGGTATTTGGAACGCGACTGAAGAAATTCGTGGCGAGAGAAGAGGTAAGAGAGACGACCTGACTGCCTTTAGAATAGAAGTAGCAGGGTGTGTAGGTTAGGTAGGATGCATGTTGTATGAGTGTGGTCTGGTCTGAGTTTGCTTGATTCTCACCTGTTTGCTTACCCCAGTGTGTGCCTGTTGTCTCCTTCGCCTGTTGTGCAGGTCTGACTTTACGAAGACAGTCATGCCAAGAGGAGGGAGGGGGACACGGCCGCCTCAGAGGCCGTTGGGAGCATCAGGAGGATATGAGCGACATGGGCCTCACCATCGAGAGAGTACTCCGGTATACGATGATGGGGACATCGAGCTATTCCTGGACAACTTTTGGGATCATGCGAGGCGTATGGGCTGGACCGTGGCCCAGGCAATCGAGAGACTGAGGGGAGTCGGCAAATTCGAGGAGCCCGTCGCGAGGATCCGTAGAGAGGTGACGACGAGGCAAGAGGTGGAGATGAGGATGGAGGAGTTGCGACCCTCGCCGGTGGGACCAGATGGCAGGCCGATCCGCCTGGAGATTGGAAATACGTCGGACTTCATCCCCGCGTTTGAGTGGTTCATGCAGGGGTAGGGCATACCGAGAGATGATTGGATGCAGACGCTACCATTCTGGACTAGGAAGGCAGAAAGGCCGCTGGCTAGCCAAATCAGAGACATGGCCCGGGACTGGGAGAGCTGCAGGGCACATCTGAGAGAGGCCTTTCGACGGCCAGAGCCCCCCCAGCCCAGAGTCGAGAGGCGTCAGAGGAGTCAGACGCCGAGGGACCCTGAGCCCAGGGAGGTAAAACCGTCTCGAGGAGGACGGAAGGCCCTAGCGAGGAGAGAGGAGGAGCCGGAGCAGAAGCCAGAGGTTGAGGAGCGAGAGGCATACCCTGAGTGTGGGTTGGGACCAGTGGAGTTCCATCGTTTTACTGAGGGTGGATTGAGGAGGTCGCCAGCACACACACAGGAGGAGCCGCCAGCATCTGAGGGGCCCTTGAGGGAATTAGAGACGCATTTAGATATTTCTCGGTGGAGGGCGTCACCTCAGGGTGAGGAGCATGGAGAGCAGGCAGAGGAGGTGCCACAGGAGGAGGTGCCACGGGAGGAGGTTTAGGGTACTCAGCGAGAGAGAGGGCTGGGCGATGAGGGGAGACGTGCAGGGAAGGAAGTAATAGAGGTTGGAGAGGACACGCCCCCTCAGACGCCGGCGGTGGGCTTGAAACTCGGGGATGCACCAGGAAGCACTCGCCCGGCAGGGGAGAGATTGCAGAGAGAGGAGGCCCCATTGCCTTCATCAGAAAAGACCCCTCCGCCAGAAGGGAGAGCAGAAAGGAGGAGAGAGAGGGCAGCTGTAAGAAAAGAGGCCTTGACCCTGATTGACAGACATCTAGCAGCTTATGCGTTGGAGCACCCAGACCTGGAGGAGCCAGCACCTGCAGAGCCACGCTAGGAGTCGAGTCAGCCAGAGAAGGAGATGGAGGCAGAAATCCCGAAGAGGGTCGACCTCCGCACAAGGGAAAGGGCGCCAGTTGGAGAGACGGTTGAAGAAAAGAGGGCGAGAAGAACCAGGCGGATAGATGAGATATGGCAGGAGAGGCAGAGGTTGGAGGCAGCAGGGGAGCTTCCGGAGCAGCAGCAGGGGAGGCAGAGGTTGGAGGCAGCGGGGGAGCTTCCGGAGCAGCAGCAGGAGAGGCAGAGATCGGAGGCAGCAGGAGCACTCCCAGGTCAGCCACCCAGCGCGCCAGCTAGGGCTCCGGAGATTCCAGAGATGTGGAGGGACTTTTGGGAGCGAAGAGGAGAGGAGCTTCCCTCGCCAGTCAGAGCCGGGTTTGGGGTGGCCAGGAAGGCGGAAGAGAGGTTAGATCGCAAAATCAAGTTCCTGGCCAAGACAACTTTTGACCGGCACTTGTTATTGGAGAGCGATCTGGCAGGGAAGAAGATGAAGGAAACAAACCATGGAGTACACCTGGAGGCTATGGAGGTGGAAATTCAGGAACTTAGAGCATTGGTAGTCAGTCAGGCAGCTATCATTGAGAGCCTGAGGCAGCAAACCCAGGGAAAGGTGGACAAGCCAGAGAGCAGCAGGCAGGGAGAGCAAAGGCAGCCAGGACGTGGATTACCGGGACAACCATCTGCATCAGAGCTTCGCCAGGAGCCACCTATGGGGAGAGTTATCCTGTAGTCAAAGGAGGCGAGAGCCCAGAGACAGGCAGAGAGAGAGGCGTTCGAGTTCAGAGCCCCTACCGAACTCGCGACGCTGTCGGTAGCAGGGGCGGGCCCAGTCGTACCTTTGGCAGTTGAGGAGGGGCTACCACCATCTAGCAGTGAGCCGGCTCAGGGCTCAGCAGAGGGATCAATGGGCGTGCTCCTTGAGGCGGTGCATACTATGCAGGAGGAGGTGAGTTTGTTTTCACCTGAGCATAGGATAGAGGAGCCTCTTGAGAGAGAGATAGGGATTGAGGCAGAGGGTGCCATCGAGAGCGGGCTCCAGAGGATGGGTACGCCTAAGTATGGGCCAGAGGAGATTGAGGAGCAACCCATAGCAGTGCCAGGAGAGACACTCGAGAGGAGACCTCAGAGGTTGGACACGCCTGAGTACGTCCCGGTAACAGGGGATTTGAGGAGCAGACTGGGGTCATGGGCTATTGGATCTGGGTCTGGGAGACCGGTTCCATGAATGGAGCAGCAGGAGGTCGTTAGTACTGCAGCTCCTGGGACAGAGCAGCAGGGGGTTGTCAGTACCTTGGTGGGATCTCCTTCATCGCCACCTCCTCAGCCCAAGAAGAAGAAGTTCAAGAGGAAGGTTGATCAGTTATGCTTCTATTGCAAGAGGGGCGTGCATCTGGCTTTGGACTGTCTCGAGTTCCTTGAGGATAAGGCAGAAGGAAAGGTCTCATAGGCAGGGGGTAAGATGTATGATAGGCAGGGTAGGATAGTAGAGAAGTCCGCAGATGGACTTAGGGCTCAATTATATAGGCAAAACCAGGAGGAGTTGAGGAGATAGGGCCGGTTTGTCTATGTAAGTGGACAAGTATCTTGTGAGGCATCAACTTAGGTTCTGTGTGATACCCTCTTAGACTTAGAGGACCTTTTTTATGATTGCTACTAGTCTAGACCTGAACTCTAGTGTTCCTACTGAGTTAGGGTCTTGAGGATCGGGGTGATTTAGATGAGGCATGTACATATTTAGGTGGCCTACGCCCTGACTTTTAAGAGACAGATTTGACATGTATTCTAGGGGTAGTTGTCAGTGTGGGTTTGGTGTGGCTTGAGTTGAGTGAGTTATGATTTGGAGACATTTTTTCTGTGTGAGACATTTTATTTCCTTGAGTGTATATCATGATGAGGTTTCTTTCAGGGACCATTCTTATATGTGACGATCACTTGTCTTCCTCACATGTGCGGTTGTACTCTGATGAATGATGAGTTTGTGTGGACAAATGTGTGAAAAACCTTTTATATTTCATGAGAACTGTAAATATGATTGTAAGCAAAATTGTCTACTCCTCGGTATACTTGTGCGACCTGACCACGGGCAGCTGATAAGGCAGAGTATAAGGGGAGGAAGAGCAGCCCGTCTGTGAGAGGTTGTGAGGATTTTGAAGATTTATGAGCGCTGGAGGCTCAAAATGTTTACCATATTGATTATTAATTGCATAATTTGTGATGAGGACCCATAAGATGGTCTCTCGGTGATTTTGTTTATGATAAGCCCCCTTGGATTTTTGGAAAGGGGATGTTTTGTGATGTTGTGTGTTATGATGAGACCCCCTCAACTTTTAAACACGGGAAGTTTGGTTTTTATGGCGAGACCCCTCCTGCTTTTTGGAAGAGGGGGTGTTTTGTTTATGATGAGAACCCCTTGGATTTTTTGGAAAAGGGGGTGTTGTTGTTGTTGTTGTTGGAAGACTCACCTTCAAAAGTGAGTAAATTGATTTATGGCATAGTGAGTTGTCTGATGAGTGATAAATCCTGACGAAAAAGGGTCACTTTTGTTTGGAATGTTTGAGAAAGTCGCAATGAGTGCAGGGCGAGAGATGTCTCAGGGTGGGTGGCTGTTGGCTCTGATCAAGTCAGGGGTCACGGCCTGGTGGATTTTAGCGGTGATTTTGTTTGTAAGCGTGCGAAGGATGCCATGCCTAGTGAGGGAGGGCTCGTAAAAGCCTTCGGACCCCTGCGTATTGCGCAGTGGGCCAGTGATTTTGTTTTGCAACGCCCCGTCTAACCACTAGTGCTAATCCTGAGATATATTGAAGAAAGGTCAAGCTAACGGAAAAGAAGTTAGTACCTCTAGGGCGTAACCTCATTGGATGGCTGCTAGCCGGCACAACCTGGTTGCGGGACCGCGTGGGTGAAAGTTTAAGGGAGGGTGCCTACCCCAGTGAAATTACTCCGCGGGATAGTGAAGGTTGAGATTTTTTTGGGGGGAATCCTGATTGAATGCTTATCAGGAGAAAACCTATCGTTGCGTAACCAACGAGGGTACTGCCGTTAAATAAACAATGCGGTGGGTCGTAGTCCTGGTCCGATTAGCCAGGCTATGGTGGGCCGAGGTGGAGGCCTAACCTTTCTGTACTGGACTGCAGAAAGAGCTGAGCGGATATTAAGTATACATATATACTTATGTGTATTTGATTGAGAGAGATTTTGAGAAGGAAGGCAAGAGTGCCTTCAAAAGGTCTCGATTAAGGCCCGCATCCCTAGTTTTTGCCAGGACTAGGAACACCCAATGAGAAGCCGAAGGTTGTCTAGGACTAGGGAGAGGACGATTGGAAAGGTCTTTGGAACTTATGCGGTCAGCGTCCTAATTTCTGGGCGGTAAGGGGCCCGGGTTAGAAACCTGGCAGCATATAGTTGTGAAGGTATGGTTTGATGGAGGCCTCTACCCTGTGTCTGTTGGCTAATCGGATTGGCTCCTTTTTCGCCAACATTTGGGGTGTGGATGGATTTATAGCTTTCTGATTTGGCAAAGCGACGGGGACGTCACTTAATATGGTCCGGTAAGCTGTCGGTGCGAATACCCTTACAAGGGTATCCGCCCTGGTTTTTGCAAGTAACAGAAAATAGTTTTGGTTTAGAGTTTAAGTATACCGCACTAAGCATGGCTGCGTCTGTAATTGCCTTGACTGGGTGGTTGACCACAATAACGAGTTCGTGGGCGCGCAGGTTTAAGGCACGCGTGATTCCTTCCTGTTGTTGATCATAAAAACCGGTTCGGACCCCGGTCGTTGTGCTTGGTGATATTACTTATTATTTATTTATTTTTGATTAAGTAGGAATTAGGGATGTTTTCTTTTCGATTAGGTACATTTGACCGGGTCGAGCGCGCGTGCGGAGAGCGGCCCCGACGACGGCATTGGCAACCACGGCGCGGCTTTGTGCGGTAAACGGGGTGGCGTAGGATGGCGCGCGGGGCAATTATGGCACGGTGTAAGCAAATCGGCGCGGGCAAAATAGGAGTCGCGCAGCCGTTTTGTCGGCCCAAAGCATCACGCCGCACTGCCTATATGGTATTCTGCGGGACTCAGTCCCAGGCTTGGGCTTAGCCCTACAGGTTACGGTATCGGACTACTATTATGAAGGTTTGGGGATCGAGGCCAGCGAGTGTCGGCGCAGCAGCGGCGGAGCACTACGGAGAGAACCGAGGGGTTGAGGGCCCGACGGGGCTATCCCCCTTTGGTTTTGTTGACAAGCGCGGCGACAGGCCCGGTCCACGGGACCGGTGAGGCTTAGTAGTGCCCGCACCCTGCTTAGAGATTTCTATTTATAATAATTTATTTTATCTTTGCTTTTTCTATATTTACCTATTATTTCTATTGGTATTTGCGGTCCCGTTTTGGTTTGGGGTGCGGTACCGCGACTAGCAGTCCCCGTCTTAAAGAACCGCAGGTGGGGGTACCACCGCGGCTAAGTCCTTCGGGACATCCGTTAAAATTGGAACGATACAGACGTGTAAATCGTTCGTCGGGCTGGGGTATAGGGCGAAAGACTAATCGAACCGTCTAGTAGCTGGTTGCATCTGAAGCTTTCCTCAGAGTGGCTGGGACTGTCGGGCAATAAGGCCGGCCACAGCGACCACCGGGGACTGCGCTAGTGGCAGCGGACGACCAAGGTAGAGGGGCCGGCAGACAGGTTGCGGCAGCGCAGCAGGGGAATGACGAAGGAGGAAGCCGGACTGCGGGAAGGCGGGCAACAGGTAGATGGCGTGGGAATGAACCTGACCGCGGCCGCGCCTGGGTACGAACGGGGTATAGCCGAGATTAAGGGGAAATCGGATATCTTGCCCGATACTTAATGGAATCGAGCAAGCGAAAATGAGATTTCTATGTTTTGGGGAGCTGCAAGTCTAATGACAGCGTTAGTTTTGGCATTAGTACAACAGAATAGGAGGTTAGTAGAAAAATTAGTGCGCCGAGCTATGACGGATGAGTAAATGGTGGGAACGAGGGATCGAGGTACTACTCGATTCATGGTAGATCAAGAGGAGAAAAAAGACTAAACTGAGGTTTTAAGGTCGGCGAGTCTGAATCTGTAGTTAGAGTTAGTAGAAGATTAATAAGAAAAAGGAGTGAGATGAAAAACTACTGCGCCGAGATATGGTTGGAGAAAGACAGCAAAAATGGACTTGGTCACGTTTCGCGCCCGGGTGCGTGCAAAGATGGCAGGGGTGGAGTTAGCGGAGCCCGCCCGCTTGTTGACGAAATCGGGTGGGGAGAAAGCCTAGATGGGGGTTTGTGAGGCGGGCGAGTCTGATGGCCGTGTTAGTTCGAGAAAAGGGTTAGTAGATTAGTAGCTAGATGAAGAAGGTGTTGCGCCGGGAGATGGCGGGAGCTGGCGGTGATGGGAGTGAGAAAACGATATCTCGCTCGATTCCTAACTGAATCGAGCAACGGAAAGTTGTTTACCGGGGGTTTTTAGGTAGGCGACATCAGATATAACGTTAGTTCTAAGAATGAGTTAGCAAAACAGAGGTTAGTGGGGAGAAACTGTGTGCGGAGGCTATGGCGGGGAGATGGCCGAGGCGCAGTGGGAAAGAGAGCAACTCGCGCGACTCTCGATAGGATCGGGCGAGGGAGGACCTAGATGGGGGCTCTTTGGTGAGGCGAACGCCTTGGTATAGCTAGACTTGGAGTTAGTTGATTAGGAATAGGAGTTAGTGTGGAAAGCCAGTGCACGGGCGATAGCGGGAAGTGGAGGATGAGCGGGAACGAAGATTAGTTTGTTTGGTCGTTTTCTCGACCGTGTTCGACAAACG